CAGTTCTTGCAACCATTCGTTGTATGTTTTATCCTCCAGTCCCCTAATCATCCTGGTTGCTCTTCTCTGCACTTTTTCTAGAGTCTCAACATCTTTTTTATAATGTGGTGAACAAAACTGGATGCAGGACTCTAGGTGTGGCCTTACAAAGGCTTCATAGAGTGGTATTAGTACCTCCCTTGATCTCAATTGTATCCCTCTGTTAATACAATTTAGGATTGCATTGGCTTTTTTGGCTGCTGCTGCACAACATTGGCTCCTATTTAGCTGGTTGTCCACTAAGACTCCGAGATCCCCCTCCCAGTCACTGCTATTGAGCCTGGTTTCACCCAGTCTGTAGGTGTCCTTTGGGTTATTCTTGTCTAAGTGTAGGATTTTACTTTTCTCCACATTGAATTTCATTTTGTTAGATAGGGCCCAGGGTTCTAGTCTGTCAAGATCCCTCTGGATCTTGAGCCTATCTTCTTGGGTGTTAGCTATTCCTGCCAGCTTACCTCTGGAGGATTACAGATAATCAGAGTTGAAAGGGACCTTGTAGGTCATCTAGTCCAACCCCTCCCTCCCCCCCCCAAGGAGCCCATGCCTCTATTCCACCTTCACTCCATAAAATCCTACCCACAGCTTAGAAAGTCACAAAGACGCGTGGGCACCAACTCCTGCCGTGGCCCCGTCTTACCCGAAGAGGAATCCTCCAGGAGATTGGACCCCACAGGATCTTCCCTGAGGGCATCCAGTTTTTCATTCCAGTCTTCCCAGTTTACTTCTTCTACTCTAGAAAAAGACACACACACACACCCCCAAGACGGATAAGTAGCAGTAACAAAGTCTTGCTCGTCTCAAACCGCCTCTCCTCCCTCCCTTTGTGTTTGAGGGAAGCTGGGAGGGTCCATTTCTGAAACGACGTGTGTTTCGTACCCCAACGGGGCACGTTTCGGTTTAAGCTTACCGAAAAAACCACCTCTGGTCTTTCTTGTCCTCAGAGCCGATGGAGAGGTAACAGCCGGATCTCTGGGCCTTTTTCCAGCACCAGATCCAGTTTTTCTCTATCTCCAGAATAGCAATGGCCCTCTGCAAATAGAGTGGTGGGGAACACAGCTTATTAAACCAGAGAGAGAGAGAGGGAGGGAGGAAGAGGGTTGATATAGAGCAGTGGCAGCCAACCTGGTCCCTATCGCCCGCTAGTGGGCGTTCCAGCTTTCATGGTGGGCGGTAGGGGTTTTGTCCCCTACTTTATAAATCCCCATTACTGTGGAACCGGTGGGCGCTTAGCGAAAATTTTACTACTAACAGAGATACAAAAGTGGACGGTAGGTATAAAAAGGTTGACTACCCCTGATATAGATAGATGATAGATAGATAGATAGATAGATAGATAGATAGATAGATGATAGATAGATAGATAGATAGATAGATAGATGATAGATTAGATTGAGATAGATAGATACATAGAGATAGATAGAAAGAAAGATATATAGATATAGATAGATGATAGATAGATGATAGATAGATAGATAGATAGATAGATAGATAGATAGATAAATAGATAATGATGAAATAGATGATAGATTAGATAGATTGAGATAGATAAATACATAGAGATAGATAGAAAGAAAGATATATAGATATAGATAGATATAGATATAGATTAGATATAGATATAGATATAGATATAGAT